TTGTTTCTAGATTGATCCAGATCTTCTTCAAGTTTTGTTCGTGCTTCTTGCGTTCTTTGATTAAGCTTCTGGATTTGAACATCCTTGTTTCTGCATCTTTGCATCCAATTGCTAGCCACTTCCTGCTCTACCTCAAGTCTGGTGTTGAAATTTTTTCTTTCTAGCTCCCATTTTTCTTTTTCAATATTATATTCTTCCTTCTTTTGGCCTCTGACTTCAAGTTCAGCAATCAGCTGGTTCATTTCAGATTCAAATCCCTTGAACATGATATTTTTCTCACCTTCAAATTTATCAAAGATGTCATTCTTCATCTCTTCTAAATCTTTGGCTCGATCCCTTTCTCTTTGCATTTCATTCATGATCTCCCGGTGTTCAGCCTTGCTTTTTATAATTCGCTCTCTTCTGTCAACCTCAAAATCTTCCATTTTTTGCTTTCCTTTCTCAAGGCTTTTGAGTAGAAGGCTATTCTTTCCTTTCAGATCTTCAACTCGTCTTTTCTCGATGTTCAATTCTCTGGTCATCTGTATTGTTGCCTGGCTTGATCCTGATGCTTTCCGGGATTTATATAACTCCTGGTAATTTTTCTGTAATGCTCTGAATTCATCATCAACTTTTTCTTTATCTTTTCTCAACATTGCACATTGTGATGAATGAAAGTCAATGTCAACACCCAACATAGCTTTATCTTGTCTCATTTGCTCTAATTCTTTCGACCAGCCTTCTCTTTCTGCTTCAAACTCAGCTCTCAGGATTTCAATCTCTGATGGAACCACCTTAATGCGATCTTCCATAGAGATATCCTCTTTTTGATCTGGTAGAGGAATATTTTCATTTTTCCTGACAGATCTCCATTCCTCATAATCAGGAGTTAGCATTTCTTTTGCTGCTTTAGCTCGGATACAAAAAGTTGTTTTCCAAGCTGTAACGGCTTCCATGATATTTCTTTTATAATTTTTGATGTGGAATGCGAACTCAGATGACTGTAATCCAGCAGTGACAGGTACAAATTGACGACCTTAATACTGTCTTATGACCAGAAGTGGTGCATATCCAATTCCTCCCCATAATCCGAGTAGCATTATCCAATTGTAATCTCCACATTTGTAAAAGAATTCCCTTTGGATTTGCCACGGGGCTCGCCAAACAATGTCATTGCTTTGCAGATTTCGAAAGGCATTAATCCACATATCTTTCTTAATTTCTTTCGGCAATTCTTGCTCCAGAAATTCTTTTAATGGTGAGTAATCCGTATTAAAGCGTCGGTATGAAACTTTTTCTGTCCTCCAGAAATGACTACGGATCCAAACATATAACAACTGGGTACACCCTGAGAATCGTCCACCTCCTAGCTTTCTACAAGCATTTAACGATCTGAAAGTCTCTGCTAGGATTGCAGAAGCAGGATTAATCTTTTTCGGTAGCTGTTCAAACAAATCTACCACTGTCGCTTCAACATATCCCAATACTTTTGGGAAGATGACCATACCATACATACCCAGAGCAAATATATCGAATCGTACTTTAGTATCTGGATGACTCTGAATAAGTTCTTTAATGTTGGTCCAAGCAATGCCTTCGCTTTCGCCTTTTTGTTTTGTACGGGATGCCACCCATTCTTCTCGTACCCCGACAATCTTTGCTAATTTAACTCGAAAGGGTTGAGTTTTAATTGACTTTGAATAGATTCGATTCTCCAAAGCCCCTTCTATATGTAGCAAAGTTGTGTACTCTTCAATAGTAGGGACCAAGTCCTCCTTATTGAGAGTGAAGCAAATGTACCCTGGATTCCAGAATTGAATTAGGGCTCTGAGTAATTCATCATCAACTTCGACATAGAGCAAATATGGGATGTCTCCGTAAGTTTGATAAAACTGCAATTTTTTGTTTGAATCCCAACTTTCCCAAATACTTCGCAAATCTTGCATATCATTTCTTTTTAGTGAAACTGGAGCATAACTGACCAAGTCAGATACATAATCATCCTGCAAACTGTCTCCTTCTTGTCTTTGTAAGTCCTCAGCCCACTGTCTTACTTCTGAGTTTAGAATTACTTGATTTGAACACTTTTATCCATAGATGAAGGCTTTCCAATGAGACAATTAACACTAGGATCAATTCCTTTTATCCTGTATGATGCTATGCAAACAGAAAAATAAAGAACACACAAAAAGAAATGAATTAGTTTACATAATAAAGAAATTTAATAATAACATTTACCTAAATATTTTTATTTAAACATGCTTTTAAATAATTTAAATAATTTAAATTTACATGTAATTTAATCAGTAAAGAAAATAAATAAATTAACAAGAAAGTTAGAATTCATTTCTCCTGTGTGTACACCTATTTTGGACAAAATTTCGGCATGGCTTCGGATCGGAAGAGTTTCTAGGGTTTATTATATGCAGGGTTTCAGATCTAAGAATAAAGGTACCCGAATTGTCCTTGTTAGTGCCCCCTTGGGCTACTAACCCTCAATCCTAGTCCATCACAGACTAAAATGGATCGAGTTCAATTCGAGGGGATACATTTCTCTATGCCTGACACGGAGAATAAATTCTCACGAAGACATAGAGCATATGAACCCCGAAAGTTACTTGCTAGGTCTGACACGGAGAATAAATTCTCACGAAGACGTCGCTTTCACTCCCACTTAAAAGGGACAAACTCAATTATAGAGCTTTATGTTATGCAATGCAAGTGTTGTGTGTGAGGATAAATGTTCAAACCTCTGATAGAAAAAAATAATGAAATAAAATATTTGCAAATAAAAATGAAATATTAATAAGAAAATATATAAATACTATGAAAATAATATGTATATATAAAAGAATTATAAATTAAATATATGAAATTTTAATTTATAATTAATAGAGACAATTTATAATTGATTTTTAAAAGTTTGACCAGTCCCCAGTGGAGTCGCCAAGCTGTCGTAACCGATTTTCGTCCGGGCACGAAATATTATACTTAGCGGGAAAATTGATGTGAGTAAATGGTTTTGAAAATAATTTGGGAGTCGCCATCGGCCTTTTTGGGTTAGGTAGGTCGAATACCTAAAAAATTTTTTTTAAAAGAGTTTTAAGAAAACATCAATTAAAAAATGAACTGATCTGCATTTATAACCAAAAATTCGTTCTTTTTAATAATAAAAAGGGATTCGTGGTCGTTTACGTTTAGGGAAGGATTAGCACCCCTACAACGCCCAAAATTGGTACTTTTTAATTATAAATTGTCTCTATTAAAAAATTTCAAAATATATTTAATTTATAATCTTATTATTTCAAAATTATAAAAATATTTATTTATTTAAAAATATCGGAAAAGGACTTCTAGGTGCCTTAAGACAGTTCTTTTCTTTGATATTAATAAATATTAATTAAATAATATTTTTTTATAATATTTAATTTTAAAATACCAGAATAGGACATCCAGTTGTATTAAGACTGCCCTTTTCTTCGATATTGAAAAATAAATATTAAAATAATTTATTAAAAATATATATAAATTATTATTCATTATATATATTTATGACTATATAATAATAATAAAAGTATTTAAATATATAAACAAATAAAACAATAAAAATACAATTAGAACGATATATTTAAAAGCAGTAAAATAAATGAAAATATTTAAAATTAGTGACTAAAATATAGTAAAATTAAGATTAAAAACCTAATTCATAATTAATCAAAATTATAGGGATTAAACATACTATTTTTTTTTTATTAATTTAGTGACTAAAATAAAACTATATAAAATTCGGATATTAGATTAAAATAAATTAAAACATATTATTCATATTAAAATATTAATTATTAAAATTATAGGACTAAATCTGTTATTTATCCTATATATATTATTTTAATATAAAGGACTAAAACAAATAAAAATGAAATTAAAGAACCGAATTAAAAGGATTATAAACTCGATTTAGTGACTAAAATGTAAAAGTTACAAGTTATAATGGCTGCGGACGGGATTTAACAATTTAAATTTGCACAAATAGTCCTTCCCGAAACGACGTCGTTCGGGAAGGCCTATTTAACGTTTGAAACGGCTGGGCCCGAAGGGCCAGCCTTCATTTCTCTATTTCTCCTCTCTCTCTCTTCTCTGAGAGAGCAATTTCTCTCTCGCTTCTCTCTAAAACAAAGAGAAGCCAGACGGCCGGCAGTCGTCCGCCGGTGTTCTTCTGCCGCCAGCCATCGCCGTCGGCCACCGCCTTCGGTGGTCGGAAAATTTTTTTTATACTAAAACATAGATCGGACCGTTCTAATGACGGTTCCGATGGCTTTTTCTTTTAAACGGCTCCCGATCGGAGCAAATCTAAGAAATATACCTTCAGTTTTTCGAAGGTTTTGGTGAGGTCCGGTGGTCGTGGCTTTCTCGGTAAGCTTCTCTTCTTTCTTTTTCTTTTCTTTCTTTTTTTCTTTTCTGTTTCTTTGCTGCGTTGTTGTTGACTGAGATCGTTGGTAGTTTTTTTAGTATCTTGTTTCTCTGTTTCTCTCTCGGTCTCCTTTTTCTTTGCAGGTTGGGTGATGGCTTTATAGCCATCACCGGTGCTCGTCTCAAACCGGTCCGAAAGGGGTTCTTCGGTGAGTCACCGGACTTCCAGTGGTGACTCACCATTTGGGAAAGACGTGTGCGGCTGGAGTGGCGGCGAGATTGAAGCAGCGCCGCGTGGTCTTCTGGAATCTACGGCGGCGCTGGGACGTGTCCCTAGGGTATTGATACCCTAGGGTTTCCTCTGGCAAACTGTGGACCGTTGGATCAAACTAGATCCAACGGCTGAAACTGAGCGACGGCAGCTGGATGATACAAACCCTAAATTGGGTTTAGGGTTTATTGTGGGATTTTGGATCCGGGCCACTGTTTGTAATTGGGCCTCCATTTTGGACTTGTAATATTAAATAATATATAATAATAATAATTATTATTATTATAATTATAATAATAATAATAATAATAATAATATAAATAACATTAAAATGAAAAAAATGAATATCTTCAGCTACCAAAGCAAAGCTTGCTTAGGATCCGATATAATTGCTAATTTCATGGCTGAAGATGAACCTAGAACTAACAGTACTATTAATGAGGAGGGACCCAGCTCCAAGGATAACAATCAAGAGCAAGAAGAACCGGATAAAGGTTGGCTTCAACTCAGTATAGGGGGTCAGACTCAGGCAGAAACAACAACATATGATGAATATGATCACAAACACGGCCATTACGATCCGGCTACCAGACGAGGAGGGTCGATGTTGATGGAGCTCGATCTATTAGCCGGTGGTGGTTCACAGTTACAGCAACAAGCAAGGCCATTATCCCCTATTTTTTACACCCCCGAGTTTGGTGTTCCGCCACGTCCAACGGTTATGCATAGTTTTAGTACTTTATTCTTTCGACGACACCAGCAAGGAAGTAGCTCCATGATCCCTCATCATGGGGAGATTAACAGGGCATTTAAACCGATAACACCGACTTCATCTTCTTCGTTGGCGCCCTATTTTGGCAGACCAATGGATGTTGCCGGGCCGAGCTCGGAGGTTCGAATCATTGATCCTCCGAGGAGGCCCCATTCTGGCATTTGGTTTATGCTACAAGCATCGCACAATCAGTAAGTACAAAAACAAGATAAGTAAAAAAAAAAGCAACTTGGGAAACAATATTAGCCTCAAACTTTTTTGTTTTTTGTATGGAAAAGGTTCACTTTAGGGTATTCAAAAGTATATTATGAAACTCACATATGTTTTTTTTTCAGGGAAAAAGAACCGTTCTTGCCTCAAATCCCTAAGAGTTATCTGAGAATCAAGTAATTAAATCTATCCTTGTATTTATAATTCTCCTTCTACATTGTGTTATTGTGTTCATTTTTATTGTGCTTTTGAATGTTATTAAGGGACGGCAAGATGGCAGTGCGGGTGATAATGAAGTATCTGGCTAACAAGCTGAGACTGGATAGCGAATCAGAGGTATTTTAAATGCAACTCCATTTTCCATTTCTGTTGCATCTCTTATCTGCTTTTAGGGTAATAAAAAAGCATGAAATTAAAGTCATCACTTCAGTTAAATTAATTACTAGTACAAGGATTATTTATATGACTTGGTTGGTGTTAGGGACGTGACAGAATCATCGGAACTAAATATCTTTCCACTCTTTCTACTTGTCTGATAACATCATATAAGTTTAGGTGGGAAGTATGCGTCTTTGGTACCCCCATTTTCTATTTATATTCATTAGCATTTTTCGCCCATAATCTATGTTCCTTAACTAAGATTATTCCAATGCTGCCTTGATCATGATAATTAAAACGGTTACCAGCTAGCCTTTTGTTTTAGTTGGTTATGAATGTTTCGAGGGACAAACGTAGGATTTAATTATAGGGACGCGAAATTTTAAAATTTTAAATATAATAGGTACCCCTCAATTCATCCGTGGATGTTTAGATCAGTGATAGTACTAAAGGTGTAGGGTTCATTATAGTAATTTGTAGTTCATAGAAAAATACTACTCACCACTAGGAATGAATGGAAAAGGAATTGATTACAACTTTATCATGCATTATGTTTGCATACAATCTAAACTTTTCTTTATAAAAAGGTTATAACTAGAGATGCAATTGGTTTGTGTAAGCTTGTTCATTTGCTAAAGGTAAATGTGATCAACAAATAGCTCCTAAGATATTCAAGTGCAATCATAAAACATTCACCAAAATAGTTAAAAGGCAAAGAAGTTTTGGTTATTATTCTAGTTTTTAGATAAAGAATAGGGACCCTTAAAGCTCATAGATTAGACAAATTGTAAAGTTTTAAAAAAATAATTTTTTAATTAATTCTTTTTTACATGTTATACATTCAAAACCTCGTGATTTTCCTACTTGTTTAACTCAAATCTGAACCATTTTGTAAAGGAGACAATTTGTTTGTATGTTTTGTTTTTTGAAAATTTTTAAGAAAACACATTGAAGGGTATCCTCCCAAAGATCATTTAACAAGGAAGATTTGCATTTTGTTTTATAAATTAATCTAAATAATTATGAACCATTAGAATCATAAAAAGCTATGCATAGGGTTTTATTTTATACGTGATATGCATACGGGTTTCTAACTAGACAACCTTTTATCTTTTAAAAAAATGCATATAAATATAATAGATGATTTGGAAAATCATAAATGCATAAATTATGATGGAGAATATTGTAACTATATAATATATACATATCCAAATAATAAATATTGAAAAATGCTATATATATATATATATATATATATATATGTGTGTGTGTGTGTGTGTGTGTGTGTTTTTTTGGCCAAGAAAATTTCCTAAACGCGTTTAACAACTGGATAGGAACGTGCATTTTAAATCTTTCTCTAGAATATCTCTAGCTATTCTTCCACTTTGAAATGTGTTGCTTGACCTGTTCTAATTTTACGTGGAAACGATATCCATATAATTTGAAAATAGGTTTAACGTGTATAGATAAATAGACATGCAGATAGATAAATGCTAATCATAACATCATCTAATATTGGTAGCAGAAACATAGTATTAATTGTTCCGAATTAAAAAAATTTGTTATCCACATTAAATTTGGCCTTGGGTATCTGTCCTTTGTCCCTCAGCATAGCCACCTAAAATACCTAAGATACAAGTTGGTTTGCTAAAAATATATAAAAATAATATATATGACATCCTCAACATTCTGTTTTGTGTTTGTGAATTATATAATAATTTAGAATGAATGCATTTTTATATTTTTGTTTCTTTTCTTGCACTTCATGCCATGAAGTAATCAAGTTTGAGATCATGACAATATCTTATTTTTTACATTTAAAAAAAGCACACATCTTATCTCAAACACAATCACAAAATATATGTATAAGTATTTGTATATAATTAGGCATCTTTTACATGTAGTTATTAGGTCAACTCAGCTTCCATTGATACCGTAAAATATTTCATATTAGGTAGCGTTTTGTTTTGATTCTATGGGATATAACAAATTCATCCTTTTCTTACATGGCATGCAACAAAAAATATCCAAGGATTAGTGTTATATGTGATTTTAGCGTAGATTTAGGACTATCTCTCTTCTATGATTGGGCACGGTCTCTCATTGAATAAATCATTCCATCAATTGTGTTTGTCCCTACTATTTTACACCATTGTGTTCCCCATGATCATTGCACGTAACCTATAGAAATTCTATTTACATATTCCGGGATAAATCAACCTATTTTATATTGCATAGAACGGTAAAACAATTTATGTCCTTCGAACTTATATTCGAATCTTGTGGATAAAAAATAATTTTATGTGACTATCGAACTCCATAGAAGTCGGGAAAATAAAATAAACACTCTAAGGATATCACTATATTAGATGGTAGGTAGGAAAAGCAAAAGAGATGCCCTCGTGAACACCGAGCAATATGCATTGAGATAAAAACATCTTATCATTTAGGTAAATTTGGTCGGATAATGTTTTTGAGAAAAAAATTTATTTTTTTATGTAAGGTGTTAGAGTGAGTAATTTTTTTTATTTAAGGTGAATGCTACAATATTCTATGAAAGATGTCCAAAAGACACAGCATTTTTAGTTTTTTGGGAAGACACAATTTTACGAGTATGCATGGAGGTTGAAGAAGATGTCGTGTCTTATGGATTTCTTTCAGAAATAGCTGGGTCTTCTGAACTTCTTCCGTGGAGTATTGTAATATTCACCTTAAATGGGAGAAAAAATAATCATCCTAATACCTTATATGCGGAACTATTTTTTTTGAAAGCAGATTTTACCGTTTGAATTTTTATCTAGTCCTTAGTTGCCTTGTTGTAAAATCACACGTGGACATTGTCGTTCTCAAAACCCTTCCATCTTCTTCGTTATCTCCTCCTTTCGTCATGCTTTCGCTTCTTTCATGTGAGCTTTGGGATAGATAATTGTTTGCCCCTTTTTTTTCATTTATGCTCATATAATGTGCTTAAAAAGGGTCATAAAAATACCCTTAAGTACACCACTTTGATGGAATATTTTGTAAAATGACCCATCAGTATCATCACTCCCATGACCAACCACAAAATTACACCCAAAAAAAAGAAAAAAAAAAACAATCCCCACATATTTTACGTAGGGATAAAACAATGCATGAGGGATAATTTTCACAACGGGATCATTCCCTAGTAGTTGAAACGGAACAAAAATAAAAAAGCATAAAAAGACAGATGAGAAAATTAGCTGATCCTAATTCCCATATGTAATGGGGTAAGAGGATATAGGATAGTAGGCTGCCCTCAACGCCAGGTTGAGAGCAGCTTCCGTAGGAGACCTCCGAATTATGAAATGCCCTCCGTGAGACTCGATCTCACGACCCAAGGTTAAGAGCCTTGTACTCTATTTTTTTTGGTGACCGCTCCGCATGCAGCATTAAATTATTAATTAAAAATTAATTAATAATAGGAGAATAAAACCCTTATCTATCATCAACACCCGCCTATTAGTTAATTAATTAATTGATTCCTCTCTCAACTTACATGCGATAGTATTTAATACATTAATTCTTCAATATTTAGTTAAAGAATCTTTATACAAATAATTAAACATTTAACAAGTGGCTAGGGCTGCGATTGCGATGAGATAAATTTCAGTTATTCGAAATTGATTCGGCTAAAATATAGTCAACTCTTTAATCGAATAAATTTGACTCGAGCTTGAGATCAAATTCTTAACTAACCGAAACAAGTTACTTGATACCTAGCTCATTTATAGCCCTACAAGTGACATTACATTATTAACCATCAATTTATAAATTTATACCATAATCGGGGATGAAGCTATTTAAGGAGTGGGAGGGGCTAGGGCTGTAAATGAGATGAGACAGATCGTAAGCTACTTGAGATCAACTCGGTCAAAGCTCGATAAATACTCAACTCAAATAGACTCGATTTGAGCTCGACTTGGCTTTTTAACAAGCCGAAATGATCTACTTGATACTATACTCGAAAATATTGTGAGCATATCAAAAATATAATATATTAAGATTTTATTTTTTTTTAAAATAAATTATTAATAATATTAACATTTATGTGTTGATTTTTTTTTGAAAAAAATGTAGTATAAGGTTTTCATGTATTTAAGGTTTAGGTCGAGTTTGAGTTTGAGGCTTTAATCGAGTTAAATTTAAGATTTTTTTTTCTTTTCGAGCTTTTACGAGCTTCAGTTCATGATTTTGAGTTTGAGTCGAGATTGAAAATTTTAGGCTCTCGCGTTTTCGAGTCGAGTCGAGCTTCATTCCAGAGTTTTTGAGTCGAGTCGAGCTCAACAATATTCGAGCTCGACTCGGCTTATTTATAACTCCCACCCAAATTTTTTGATTTAATAGTATTTTAGGTCTTTATCAGTTTAAATTTAAGTAAAATTGGATGTCCCCCAATTTTTAGATTAAACACATAATAAGTTCTTATTATTTTTTAAATTAACTATCTTGTCCCTCTCAGTATTTGATCATGGCTCCGTCCCTGACCATAATGGTGTATTAGATATAAATCTTAATCTAAATAATTCTTTCATTAAAGTCGTGTTTGATTTGGTTTTGTATCAAAAATGAAAACCTAATATTTATGACAATTAATATTTAAAATTTATAATTGAAACATTCCCGATTAATATTATTTTAGAAATATTTTCTCATAAAGTTTAAAGTGAAACTAAATTTAGCAACAAGAAAGAGTAGTATTAATTAAGGGAAAAAACACCAGAATTGATTAGAAGGGAAGATTGAGCCTTTAATTAAGAATTAGGTTTTTATTTTGGAAGAAAGCAACGTGAGGAAGACGTGCATGAGATGTGATTGGTGTACGTGGCGTAGGCTTGGGTGGGTTTTGTTGGAAAATAATTAAAAGAAAAAGAAGATATTCTCATGATAGCGTTAGATTTTAACTTTATAAATATAAAAGTTGATTTTTTTATTTCTAATTAAGTCTTAATATAATTAAAATATTAAATAAATTGGAAAGGTGTATTCTGGCCATGCCTTTTGGATTCATTAAAAATTTGTGTTGAATTAATTACTGGATTACTATTTTTATTTAATTAAAATAAAAAAGTCTAAAAGAAAAATGATTTTGGCTTGCAACTAAAGTCTGGGTGGCCCCCGAATGATTATTTTCGGGCAGTTTAAGGCCACGGGCAGGCTTGAGCGTGCTTGACCGCTAACCTAAATTGGAGTAGTAAAAAATATATATTTTTCAATTTTCTTTGTCTTACTGGGATAGAGTTGCAAAGGAGAAATTTTAGGGTAATCTACATAACTAGTCATTCAACTATTATATTTCCAACGCTTGTTCAATTCTATGCATGCCTTACGTATAGATCATTATGTTTTGGTTTCACTCGTCTCTGACATTTCGTTTTTCAAGGACTTTGGTGTCACTTTGTGAAAAAAAAAGATGAGGTCGTTTAACATGAAACTAATTGCAATATTAAATATGAAACATTGTTGAGGTTGCAGATAGAGATAAGATGTGAAGGGCAACTGCTTGAACCAGGGTTGACGTTGCAGCATGTAAGGGATCAAATATGGAGTTCAAGACAAGCTCTTGATTTTCCTCCCCATTATACTTCAACACCACCTGATATTAATAATAATAATCTCATGGTTCTGCATTATGGTAGGAGGAGCCACGCCTTCAATTAATCATATTACACCACCACTGTCCTTAATTTTTCTCATAATTTAATTTCATCCTTTTATATATAGTTGTGATGAATGAGTGAATGTATCATTTCTTAAGTTATGAAATCCCCTCCTTTTTCTTTATTTTCATTTAATGAACAAAATAATTTTGTATTTCCAAGCTATATTGACTTCATTTTTAGTTTTAATTATTATTTTTTCTGATACTAGCTAGCACAAACTTTATTGATTAAGGGTAAATTATATTATTATTTTAATAGTATTAAAATCATACCAATCATTTTTTTCCTTTTAACTTAAGTATTAGACGAATTTGTAAATCTGACGTGAAACATATTTAAAATACATAGATTAAATTATATATATATGATTATTATATGAAATATTTGAATATAAGGTATTAAAAAAAGCTCTCCTTATTTTAGTAATGATGCCTGTCTTTTTACATATTCAACTTAAGTTATCTATAACAAATATATACGTTTTAATTCACTTGAAAATGATATAACTTTATTTCAATTGATATTTGTGTAAACTGACGACCAAACTGATAAGATTATATATATATATATATATATATATATATATATATATATATATATATATATTAGATGGAGTGGGTGAGAGGCAATCGTCACTTGAAAACTTAAAATTATCATATATTTTAAATTTAATTTATGTATTTTTTATTAAAAATATGTTTTTACTCTCTAAAATTTTATAAGTTTAAGTATACTCCCTACCATAAAAGCTTGTGTCCTTCCAAATATATATATATATATATATATATATATATATATATAGTTGGATTTGGAGAATAATGCTAAAGCCATCTTTGAGTGATGAGCTCATGCTTAGCTAAAAAAAATGTACAAAACATACCGACTCTTTTTGGGCCAATTAAAGTAGATGTCATCTTCTATAAGATCCAACTTAAATTTGAAAGGATCTAATATATTCAAGCAAATGTTATAGTAAAAAAAAGAAAGCACCCACAAACATTGTGAAAATTGGTGGTATCTTAAAAAAACTTAATATAAAAAGTTTATAAATTATACATCCTTTTCTATTTAGATGTTTAAATATTATTCGATTAATATAGGTGTTTAATGTTATTAACGTTATCATTTTAATTGCTTGATATGTGACAATTGTTAAAAAAAATTGTTATATGATATTTGTCACATTTATATTTTTTTTTTATTTTTTAACAATCTAATACTATTACTATTATTTTATAAAACCATCATCTAGTGCCGTAGCCTAGAATTTTTATATTGTATTAAAGGGCCCAATTATTTGAAACACTTGTTATTATGCTTTCAAAATTTCCATAATATTTATTATTATGGGCTTATTTTTTAATATTTATTATTAGAAGCCTATTTTTCTAATATTTGTATAAATGTCTAATTTTTTGTCAATATTTTTTTTCTAATATTTGTTATTAAAGGCTCAATTTTTTCAATACTTATTATCAAGGGTCCAATTTTTTCAATATATGTTATTAGGGCATACTTTTAAAATTTACTTTTTTCTAATATTTATTTGTTATTATGAATCCAATTTTTTCAGTACTTTTTATTGAATGTTCAATTTTTATATATTTGTTATTACGAGAATAGCCTTAAAATTTATTTTTTTAATATTTGTTATTAGGGATTCATTTTTTTTCCAATACTTATTATTATGAAGCTACCCTTAAAATTAATTTTTCAACACTTATTATTATGAACAATTACTTAAATGATGGTATGAAACCACAAAAATGTCTGTTATGTAGTGGTAACATCCAAAATTACGATATCAACAATTGTTATATCCACAATAGTATATGTTATTAAAAAACCACAACCACGATACTTGCAGTGACCACAATATCATATGTTATGTTCAAATTAACAATAAATACAACATGATCGAAGACACAAATACAAATTGTAATTAAACCTCTAATTAAGGGACAAATTTTTTTGCCGAGGTCCACCAAAATCTCAGAAACGAGACTATCACCACCCTTACCGTCATTTGAAATCTCTAAATCCCTAAACTCAAATCCTTAAAATATTAAATACATAATCCCTAAACCCTAATCAATAATTGTCGATCGTCGTCGATCCTTTAGGTGGAAACAATAGCCATGTTGCCTCTACATCCATTTGCACTATTGGTAGTGGTCAATCAAAGACGTTAGTGGTAGGTTACGGTAATGAGGGCATAACACCCTTTCCCGTATTCGTACCTGAATACAAGTCAGAGATGTCACACAACACTTGTAAAACATTTCTTATTTGGAACCAGTAAAATATTTTTGTTTCTTAAAAATTTATTCATTTAAAACCCTTTTTCACCAAAACTAGTTAATCACATAAAACTAAAAAGTAATATTTTGATATACAAATCATACTCGGTTTTAGGCAACAATATGACAATTCAATATTGTTTTATATAATAAGTAAAACTGCCTAAAAGCTGTTAGAATTAAAACTCATCTTTACTCCGATAAAATATAACTTTATCAATTATTAAACTAAAATCCCTATTTATAACCATATTCATGCTTACTAAAATTTATACATAAATATTGTTACGAAACATTTAAAAGCTATACACATATCAGAGCAATTTAATTCATTTCAAATCCAACTATATTAAAATATTTTGGACACTTATTATATGTATACATGCCAACTACAATTAAAAAACAACAGTGGGATCTCATTTTGTTACCCATAATAAATCTTCGATATTTGATGCCAAGTCCAACTCCTTACTCCACATGCTTTCTTTTACCTACACGTGAAACAATCAAACACAAAGTATAAACTTAGTGAGGCATTATCAAATAAAAAATAAAACATATCGGTATATAAAATATCACATAACTTATAGTACATAAAATATCATATAATAATATATGAACGTATGAAACAAATTTTCAAACCTTTCTTTGAACTAAAATCTAAAAATCAGTTTTTCAAAATCCATAATTCAGAATAAATAATTTAGATATAAGACATTTTATGTCAAATCAGAATATTCGATGAAAGCTTTACTTTCAACGAATCAAATAAACCTGCACTTTTCACATTTATTTAACTGACAACCTAATGTATAACAAATGAGAATGCATGGCACTTGATTAATATAAACGAGTGTACTGTATGCAGTATAACTGACTGTGAATAAATTGAACATTTAGTGCCATGTGAATCAATTACATCATAGGTTCCATACAACCGGTTTGTACATATAGTGCCATGTAATACCAATACAAGACTGTAGAACACACCAACACTGTACTTATAACCAATAATGCATCACACTAGCATATTATATGTGCAGACAACATATCACATATGTGTTATAAAATGTATCATGTCCTCTCTGTAATGTACTCGAATGTACCTATATAAGATCGATCGATAAACACTCCACCTCATGGCATGCCAATTGTACCAACAAATCTCAACGCACAAACAATGGGCTTTTATCCAAAATCACATATCAATCACTTATCATAAAATATCAATGGATACTCATATTTAACAATATCATAATTCAGTGCATTGGGCAGTTCATACCCAAAATATCCATAAATCATTTAGTAAAATATAATATAAAAATATATATTGGGTAATTCGTACACAAATTCATTCATAAACTTTTTCAGGAAATCATTATGAAGATATTTCATAGTACATTTCAAAACTCTTTTTCTTTAAAAAACATCATAGGTTGACTTATCACAAGTCTTTCTCGTATTATAGAAACGTATATAAAGTAGGGAGCATTCATATGGTAATGCTTCAGTAGCTAACCTTTCTACCAATATAAACGTCAATTTTGTACTTTATCCTTGTTTTTAAATTTGCTATAATATTGATCACGAACTACATGAGAGTCAATTACACAAAGTACACATTTAAAAGCACGTGTTAGTACCTTCACTTAAATGATAGGCACATGTTAGCATAAAATTGCCAAAAATGCAATTAATGCATATTTGATATAAACTCCACACATGATTAATACTAACTTTAATACTTTAAAATAAAACTTTAATTCTCCTAATATCAATATTCATCCAATAGTTCCATATTCATCTCAATTTCACATTCTTGACCAACAATATGAATTATGTTAGAATTCATCCAAACCTTTCCAATTTATTCAAAATGATCATTTTTCATTTAACTTCACATTGAAGCTTCTAAAAGCAACATTGCTCATCAATTATAGACAAATTTCCTTCTGAGCTCGTACGGTATACTAGCATGAGGCCACTATGGGCTCTGGACTGGTCACTGATCTGGAGGTACCCTTATTGATCTGTCCTGAAAAAGCTCCACTACCCCTCGAGAACCCTAGACCTTGCTAAATAGATGGAGTTGACCTCTGCATTAATACGAGGGATATACTCTAAGCTCTGGGATAGTCTTTAATAAAATGCTCCAATGAGCCATAGTTGAAGCAACCACCGGACACCCGATAACACTCTCCGGGGGTGTCTTTTATTGCAAGTTGAGCTTATTGGCTGGACTGGAGTCTACTTTTTCCTACTAGTGCCTAATCTAAAAACTGATGATAAGGGTATTCTACAGGGGCCAGACCTACCTCCACGTTCTAAACTCTGAGTTGCTCCTCTAGATGGACCTGACGGTTACCTTCACATACCTTGAAGACCCCTCGACCTCATTCAACATATGGTGTTAACCTCCACATCGATGCAGGGGATGTGCTCTGATCTATGGGACAATCTCTAATAAAGTTATCCAATGAGCTGCGACTGAAGTAACAATCAAACACCCGATAACACTTTTGAGGTGTCTCCTACCATAAGTTGAACACACTGACTGGGCTGGAGTCTACTCTGTCCTATTGGTGTCTGATCTAGAAACTGATGATAAAGGTCTCTTACGAGGGTCAGACCTACCTTCGCGGTCTAAACTCTGAGATGTTCCTCTAAATAAACCTGATAGTGACCTCCACGAACCTTGAGGACAAATGGCTCTCTCTGCTAATGAATAAGATGGTCTAGCTATCTATGGAGCTCTCTAACTTTGACCAATTAATCGCCCATTGCCTGAGACTTCTTACTCAAAACTCTCTCTAATGCTTTTGCCCACTAGGTTAACTCTATAAAGATGCAGAGAGGGTAAACTTCCAGATGAGAGAAGATATTTAGGTGGAGGCCCTCCCTAAACCTCTTACAATGGTGAGCCCAGTCCCTACTAACTTTGGTGCGTATCGGCTCAGTATGAGAAATTCATTTTCATACTCATGTATGATCTTGTCGCCTTGAGGAAGATGCAAAAATTGGTCCCTCAAGTCATCCGTATGGGCCTCTTCGATGTATTTCTATCGAAACTTTGACAGAAAGTACTCCCATATGAGACTCTTTGGCTCCATTTCCATATCCATTGCCTCACACCAATAAATCACATCACCTTTCAAAAGAGAGATAATTAACTTGTCCTCTTGAGTAAGGTACAGTTGGTGCAACATACGAAGAGTCTCTCTAAGCCACTGATCTACTGTGATCGGTCATTGTCCTCAAAATCATATAAATTAGTGGTCTTGTACCTACGAAGCCTCTATACTAGGACTCCTATGGTGCTACTACAAGTTGAACTGGAGGTACAGGTAGGGGAGAAGGCATAGCTGGTGCAATCGGTATGGCCCAGACTATTTATCTAAAGACTGAGGTCATGTCTCGAAAAAAGGTCACCTCATCGATTCTTGCGTCTCCCGATACCTCAAAATCAAAATCCAGGATGAAATCGTTACCAGTATCCCCAGTGAGGGAGACACGACTCTCATTTGTTCCCTCGTAACTAGAAGTAGTGCTATCGACCATAACCTAAGTCTGCAATTATAAAAGAAAGTGAGGTCATTATCATCATTCCATAGACTTAAGCATTCTTGACACTCTAGGGGCATGTACTCACACAGATGCTTACTGACTTTGACCCATGGGCCCTATGAATGAATAAACCTAACATTCTGATTCCACTAAATATAACACCAAAATCTGGTCTGACTCAAAGATCAAATGATGAAGGCTTTACACGGACCATTAAAGTGGCTAACAAAAAAATTTCTTTTGAATCGTTTGTAAAACAACAATAAATCATTCACCATAGTATAAAATAAAACATCATAAATCGAGGTTTACAAAATATAGGAAAGCTCATAATACATACAAAATACAAACACTGAGTTTTAAATCAAAATGAAGTTATGACTTGGAATAATACAAGTTCCATATAATACATATCCTCTAAAATACTTAAGACATACTTTGAAAATTAGCTGATCTGGAATGTTTCTACGCTATAACTCCTCTTTGATCATTTGCTAACCTATGAACTGAAAAGAATTTTAAGCCTTGAGCTCACAAGTTCTGTGCCACGCTAATAATTATGTAATACTACATGTATTCATTACATAAACATGCCAATGCATAAAGTCATGGATATACGAAAGTATTGCAACAACATTCGATAGATTTAGTGGCGCGGTTGGGAAAAAAATTTATAGCCCAGGATAACTCAATAGCATACCTTGAATACTTTAGGGTCTCGAGGTAAGAATCAAAATTTTATGTGCATAAAAACTTACATCCTTAACAACATGTAGGCTCTCAAACATTGGTCATGATCTGGAATTTTACATGCATTAGAAACATGCTCGACCAACTTACTCCATCTAGTCTTGAGGCATCTGTGCCTAGCTGGCAACTGAAGTGCCTAATGTACTAGCAGACTATATTCAAATATTTCATAATGAAGAGAATTGTCATACTACTAAAGGGACTCGGGTGTCTTAACTATTTCCCGAACGTCACACAATGTCAGTCTTATGTCATCATATCTTATTCTGTTTCTAGTTGTATTTATAATTACTTTAGTTGTTCTCAATAGTAGTCATGTACACAAGGCTTCTATGACCCCACAACTCCCTTATCCAAGCAATTGAATTAATTGGGCTATTTGCCCAACTTATGATGATGGTAACAATACTGTGCCTATTGATACCAAAAATAGCTTCGAATTTTTTGGTAAAACACTCGGTACCGATACTCTTATTGAAGTATCGATACTTTTATGGGAGGGTATCGATAATACCTTGAGTATCGATACAAAAAATGGCTTCGATGTTTAGAAAAATGTATTCGCAATAACTAACAAGATAAAGTATCGAATAAATATAAGATCTAATATACTTACTATATATATATATATATATATATATATATATATATATATAAATTCATAGTATATACAATTTATTACATATGTACATAACAAAGTAAATTTACTAAACTAAAAACCAAGGCATATTTATACATGTATGCATATAACGTAAGACATGCACATGAATCTATATGTACTAAAATGTAAGCATCAGAAAATCACAAGCGCTAGAAATAAAATAAGCCATAAGTATTTAACATGACTAAAATGGAAACTACAAAAATACCATGCTCAAGGAGGACCAAAATATAAAACATATAAAAGTATAATACCAAGATCAGAACTTCATTAATAAATGGTGAAACGATACAATACAACAAGACTTCAAGCCCTTAGGGGACTATTTACCAATTTTATAAGAAATCTAATCCTAACCCCATCTTTACTTCATTCTTGACATTTATCTGTAACTCTCTCCACTATTTCTCTTTTAACTCCTCTTAGTTAAGAGATGATAAAACTTTCATTCTCTCAAAACCAAAAATCAAAAGAAAGAACAAAAACTACCTTTGATGCTTTGAAGATCCCACGATTCTAGCAAAGCAAGAGTATTCATATATGAGCAGTAAGGCTTTCTCTTTTTTCCTGTGTTCTTCTTCTTTTTTTCTTTTTTTTTCGAACTTCCTCTTTTTTCTTTTTTCTAAATCATCTTCTTCTGTTTTCTTCTCTTTCTTTTTTTGAACTGATTCCTCTTTTTTGTTGTTGTATGCTTGTATATATAATGATGGTGGCTTCCATGAGATGTGTATTTGGTGAGGCAAATGTATAGGTTCTATAGGCCATGCAGAGGGTAGATGGAGGTAGCTGAAGTCTTGATTACTTCCATTAAGTGCCCTAATTTTCTTGATTTTGGTTGGATTTAACTTGCTCATGTTTACTGTTACAAAACAGTAGTAGGATTGACCTTTTGATAGTGACCAACACGGTGACTGAAGTTGGAATGGGTGGCAGTGGTGACTGGAAACAGTGATGGTTGCAGTGACTATAAGAGAATTAAGGTTCAAAAATCCTAATTACTTTGGATTATTGCTTGGGCCTACTTTGTTGAGCTTCATGTCTTGGGTTTTAACAGATTTGGGTATGTTTTGTTGTTTTGGGCAATGTAATCTGTAAAATAATAATAATAATAATAATAATAATAATAATAATAATAATAATAATAATAAATAAATAAATAAATAAAATGAATTCGATAAGGACAAAAAGGAGTGTCTACAAAAAGGAGATAATTAACGTTCAAAGAGTTTTTTTGTCCAATTACATCTTTCTTTTTTGAAGTTTGATATTGTCTCAAGTGAGACTGAAAATGAACAATATCTTAAGAGAGATTTTTGAAGATCAAATCTTCTAAAAGGGATATGTTCTACTACTCTTAAGGTGGATTGGATATGGAAACATTGATTCACTTTACTGCCCTTCAGGGAAGATTGAATCGAGGTAGATTTGCTTCAATGCTCTTCAGGGAAGATCAAATATGTGCTCCGCTTTTCTTCAGGGTAGATCATATATGCAAACTTTGATTCACTTCAATACTCTTCAGAGAAGATTTAATTGAGGTATATTTGTTCTGTTGCTTTTCAGGGAAGATCAAATATGCTAAAAGGGATCTGCTCCGCTGCTCTTCAGGGTAGATCAGATTTGAAAACTTTGATTCACTTCACAGCTCTTCAGAGAAGATTGAATCGATGTGGATTTGTTCTATTGCTATTCAGGGATGATCAAATATGAAAAAAATAATCTACTCTACTACACTTTAGGGTATATTAGATCTGAAAATTTTGATCCACTTCACTTCTCTTCTGAGAGATTGAATCCAGGTAGATTTGTTCCACTACTCTTCAAGGAAGATCAAATATATAAAAAGGAGGATTTGCTCCATTACGTTCCAGGGTAGATTAGATCTGGAAACTTTGATTTACTTCACTGCTCTTCAGAGAAGATTGAATCGAGGTTGATTTACTTCACTGCTCTTTATGGAAGATCAAATCTGAAAAAAGAATCTACTTTGCTGCGTTCCAAGGTAGATCATATCTAGAAACTTTGATTCACTTCATTTCTCTTCAGGGAAAATTGAATCATGGTTGATTTGCTTCACTGGTCCTCAGAGAAGATCAAATCTGAAAAAAGGAATATGCTTTGTTGTTTTTAGTGGAGATCAGACATTAAATCTTATGATTTTTCGCCTTTTCCCTCTTGAAGGTTTTAAACTGGTTACTTTTGTTTGGGATCCTCTATCTTTAAATTTGAATTTCTCTTCATGAGGTCCTGTTGTCATAAATATTTAGTTTTCTTGAAAAACATTATTAATTCTTGGCTCCTAGTAGCATATTCTGCATGCCTTGACAAACTTTTCCTTCAAGGTTTGCTTTTCTTTGCCCCAAATTCTGATTCTAAGCTTCTATGTTTGAGAGACATTCGATAACTTCCAAGACATAGTTCCATCGAAATTATCTTGTTTGAAAATGTTATTCTTCACTTTTCAATATTTTTTTTCAAAATGTGAAAACGTTTGATGAAGAAGTTTTGAAAAATGGTGTCCCACACAATAGGCTCGCAATTGAAAAAAATTATAAAACAAGGGTTCATTGGGTATCAAACAAATCAATTACTCTTTTGATTTTTCAAGAATTATAGCCCTTTTGACAAGTGTCAAGATTAATGTCAAAATTGAGGTATAGGTTGATTCTGGAAAGGTAAGGCTCTCAGTTGGCCTTTTGTATTATAGCATATCTGGTTATTTGGTTTGAACTAACTTGAGAAAGTGGTTGTTATGTTATGTTCATTTTCTAGAAATACTCACAGGTTCCAAGCTCTCGGGAACACATTTGGGATGTGCGATGCTTCATTAAGAGATTTGTAAGAGCACTTTTTATGCTATAATTATGCAATTTAATATTCGAACCGCTCTTTCAGGTTTTCAACTTGAATCCTCTTTTGGTTTCAAGATGTTATATGAAGTTTTTCACTTTGAACCCTCTTTATTTTTCCCTATCATGCATTAAATATTTTTAGAACTTATTTTGCAAACAAAAAGATTAACCCTAAGAAACGAGGTGAAATTTGAGGATAATCTCTCATACTTAGAAATCCATGTATGATTAGAAGAGACTTTGTAGGCACGTAATGTAGGAAATAACTCAATGTTATGAGAGAAAATGATAAATAGGCAAAACAAGTGTTTAAGAATGATCGAACCAAGGATCATTTCGTTCTGATGTCTTTGATCTTTTTCTGAATGATTTGAGTATGCTTTCACATGTATTTTATTCTATTTTTTGTTTGAATCCCTCTAGACTTCCCATTTATGGGTTTCACTCTAGAGTTCATCTATATTTTTCTATACCTTTGGTATATCTCGATCTTCTTATTGAATCTGTATCTTTGAACCAACTATACTTGATCAACCTTGTGGTTTGAAGATCATTAAGTCATTTTATTTTGATGGACTCCTTGCTTTAACTTCTTATCCTCTTCATTTGATAATATTTGAACCTCACTTTTATTTGAACACATTATTTGTCTTTTTTACTTGGAGAATTCATCACTTTCATTTGAATGTAATTTATTTCTTCTACTTGGAATATCTTTTGCTGTTCTTAACTTGATTTGGTCTTCAGTCACTTTGTATTTGATCTATTTTGCGGTGCCTTTTTATTTCACTTTATTCCACAAAGACTTGTCTTTGTAACAAAACTTGAATTTATGGTCTTCATTCATGCGAGACGATTTCCTTCACCTTGCCCCCCAGTGTGGAGGGTGATATTTGGTTATGGTTGAATCAGAAGAAAAATATTCTAGGCTCAAATGGGGACAACAAAGGATATATTTTCTCTTTTTGTGAAGGGATAAATGAAAAATATTGTTCATCATCTCATACACAGAAGTCCTTGCAAAAGAGGTATCCCTGGGGGATGAATGTTCAAGATTAGCTTTTATTCACATGGAACAATTATAATTAATGCATGATATAATTATTCTAATCAATCCTTTTATTTCATATTCTTCTTCTTGCTCTTGTTATGCTTCAATTATTCATGCCTATCTTTGAAAAGTTGATATAAGAAGCCCCAACTTGTTTTCCATATAGAACAATTATCGTGTAAGTGAACATCTTGTACTCCATGCATTTATGTTTTATTGTGGTGTACAAAAATGGGGGGTTTTGTGTGACTTTATTACTTCAAAGAGAGGTAAAGGTAAGAATTTAGGTTCCTCAAAGAGAGGTAGTGTTAAAATTTGATTTTTTAGTGACCAAGAATTATTTAGGATAAGGAATCGAGTGGTTGTATTTTTGGCTTAAGAAGGAATAATAAAGGTATAATATTATCAATTGCCAAAGATATATAATTCTTGAAAGATTAGAAGAATCTTTAGTTCAAATGATATTCAAAGAACTACAAAATTAGAACTTATTGCATTGTTCATAACCTTAGAAGGTGGGATAAGTTTCATTATCAAACGACATATAAAAATATCTAAGCAAATAACAAAGAAAGAACAAAACAAAATTCAGACAAGAAAATGCAAGTGCGATATATATATATATATATATATATATATATATATATATAAATCATTTATTATTGTTATTTTTTTTCGCGCATATATATATATATATATTATTATTATTTGCACCTTATTTTTATATAAATCATCATTTTCCTATATATGTAAATAAGAAAATTTCATTGCGAGGGAAATCTATGAAGACATCTCCCAACTACAGGGAAAAGTATCTTTTCGAAGATTTTTCGCACAAAAGTTTTTTTGTATTTGATAATCTTCTTTGCTTTACATTTTTTATTTTATTATTTTTCACCTCCTTTTATTTTTATTTTATCTTATTTTTATTTTTTACTTTTGTCTTTGATATGAGGAAAATTGTTAGGTAATGTATTTTTGTTAAAAATGTGAGGTAATGTTTTATTTTTATTACTTTTATCTATGGGAAAGTCTCCTAACTACAAAGGAAGTGCATTCTGAGGGATTGTTTGCACAAAAAAACATTCTTTTATCTGAACATTTCTAAAATTTAATATAATACTATACTCTTTTAAACTATATCATCTATAAAATTAAAGAAGCCCCATTTTGTGCGGAAATTCAGGAAAAAGTCTCCTAACTATAAAGGAAGTGCATTTTCATGAATTGTTCGTACGAAATGATGTATTTTCTCTTATAAAATTAATTATATTTTTTGGGGTTAAATAAATAGTTTAAAAATATATTTGTGGTCTTTAATGTTTGTGCCCATTGCATTTATTATTTGTCATCATATTCTTATTTGGAAAAAACATTGTTTTAGTTTGAAAAAATTGGCATCTTTTTAAATAAATTCGAATGAATAGAAGGATTGTAATTTAAATATATTTTCAAGTTTGCAATTCCCAATATTTAAACATCATATGATTGTTTAGGTACCAAACCTTGGGAGTTGTGAGGGTGCTCATCCTTCCCCACACGTAATCGACTCCCAAACTCTTAAAAATAAATTTTTGGTAAAACGCAGACCATTTTTTCATCTTTTAATAATTTTTCTGAACTCATTAAAATGACAATTTAGGTTTCAACCTACATAACTTAAAGGTTGGTGGCAACTCCAAGATCAAATTGTTTCAAAATTATATTTCATCACCTTCCTCGAATTAATTTTTTTAAGTCTAACGAATCCCCGAGGGAGACATTATGACAGCTTGACGACTCCACTGGGGACTTAGAGAGTCAGGACATAAACAATTAATTTTTATTTTTATTATTGGGAATTCAAATTTAAATTGTATTTAATTTATGATCCTTTTGTTTATTTTGAGTTTCAACATATCATGCATTATTCTATTTTTAACTAATGGATTTCTTTTTGATTTTATTGATCTTCAGATTTGAACAGATTTTTGAACTTGTACAAATGTTGTCTTTTGTCGTGTTTTTAAAGGTTTGTGAGTTTCTTCTCATACACAGCACATCCATTTACATATTATAAGCTCACTTTTGAGCTTTGTCCCTTTTAAGTTGAGGTGAAAGCTTAGCCTACGTGAGATAACTTGTTTATTCGCATGGGTTTTAGCAAGTAACCTTTGGGGTTCACATACCTTATGTTTACATGAGATAAATAGTTTCTCCGTATGGACATAAGGGAATGTATCCTATCGAATTGAACTCGATCTGCATGAGCCTGTAATAGGCCATGATTGAGGGTTTGGCAGCCTAAGGAGGCACCAACATGGATAATTCGAGTACCTTTTTCTTAGAACCCAATTCCGCATATAGTGAGCCCTAGTAGCCCTCCTCAATAAAATTCATGCCGAAACTTTGTCCGTTGTTAGGTATCCGAATAAGTGTACACAAAGGAGAAACAACACTAAGCCTATCTTCTTTACTCGTATTATTTTACTTTCTGAATAAAGCATGTGAACTAGAAAAACATGTGGTTAGGTTTTATTTTCGAATAAAGCATGGGGGAAGAAAGCATGTTTTGGGTAGGTTTAACCTAATAAGGGTAGAAAAACATGTGATATGGTGTTGCAATTACCTTTCAATAATATTTTCTTGATATTTTAATTCTTTTATACTGATACATTTTCTATATTTGATTGTTTATTGTTTGGCATTGCATGATCATCATAAATAAAAGAAATGTGTTGATTAACCAAGTAATCATCAGAGTAGAAGAGAGATCATTAAGATGGAAAAGAGTTTTCATAAAAAGGAAGAACCTAATTCGGTTGTCT